GAGGTAGACAGGCTGCTGCAGAGCCTGGAGTAGTTGCCCTTAATTGTCTGGGGGAGAGCTTTTCCCCCTCCTCGTGCTCTGCTTCACAGTAAACTGGTTAGATTACCAAAGGCCTTTCAATAGACAGGAAATCAAGGTGTCCGAACTAAGTAAAGCAGTGGAATGAATACTTACTAGTAGAGTTATCATTGTAATCCCATGCCTCAACAAGCAATGTGTAGGATCTCTGCAAAAGAAAAATAAGAGTTAGTTTCAAAGCTACACATGATTGTAAGGAAGGGGAAGGAAAAAAAAAAAAAGAAAGAAAGAGGAAAACCACACCAACAATTTTACTTAAACAGAAAAATCCTGGTCTCTGCCCTAAAATGGAATACTTGAAAACATAAATAGGTGATAGATTATACTTGAGACAAACATGATCTTCCTGAAGCCCCATAAGCTACCTTATCCAGTCTGACTTAGAAGACCTTTCACCTTGGATAGCTCATCTTTGACATCATTAATGCATCTTATGTACTTAACCAGGAAGTACAGCCTTTGACACTATGCTGTAGCCACAGTAAAGCATGTGTGGAAGAATTGCACATGGAAGACAGAACACACCGAGCCAGCATAGCAGCATCAAAAACCCCCAAAAAACCAAACCCAACCCCCCACCCTCAAAAACTGCTTCAAAAGAATTTTAGTTACAGAAAAGTAGTCTTGATGTCCCTTCCCCCAACCATCCTGAAAGCAAGAAGTGTTGCTAAGATTACTGTGCTCTGCCTTGACAGCGCAATCTCTAGGGACTTTGCTTTTCAGCACCCCCTTTGAAAGCTTTGTCTGCATGAGGGCCATCGCCGCTCCCACAAGTATCAGGTAACTGAGGGAAGAACTGATGGATATGGGAAGGGGGTGGGGTGAGAGAGAAGCATTGTAAAACAAAGGCTCAGATCAGAAGAGCGGGGAAAGGGAAGACGCACTATCGACCCCGTGTCACATTTACAGACGCACTAATCTGCCAATGAGCTCCCTAGCACTCCAGTAATAATAATCATAAGCATAAACCAAATGAAGTGACTCCGTGGGTTGGAAAGCCGCCAGCTATTACATCTAAGCCACCTTTATCTTCAGTCCTAACTTGAGAACAAGAGGCATTAAAACATCATCTCCTCCCCCAGCTCTACTATGGGATATTATTATCCAGGCTGTATCTTTCAAAATTGCCATTTAGCCAGCCACATCCAAACTTACAGAATGATTCAAAACCAAAATGACACACACCCCTCCAAAAAAAAAAAAAAAAAAAAAAAACTGAGGAAAAATAGGAAAAAATATGATGTGAAAAGAAAAAAAT